AAAATAACCTAAAAGAATACATTGCTGCGTTACCCCAGAGACGTACGCCTCCCTTTATCACTGCAGAGAACGCCAGAGGCAGGAGGAAATCAGAACGCGATGAGAGCCAGAGCGGGAAACGGCACCCGGCATCCCTGAGACCACCCAGCATCAAGATACCGGTGGGGAAAGGATCTGTAACGTCCAGAAGGGACGTTGCCAGGCCAGTAAAAATCACCATTCGTTGCGGCAAAACGCGTTGTCTGCCACTTTCAGAGAACGTTCCACGTTTCAGAGGGTGAAGGTGAGACTGGGCAGTAGAGTCCTGGGGGCCGGGCAAGGACTCCCGCAGGAGGGCTCCCCGCAGATCCCCAGTGCTTTGCCACATTTCCAGGGAAGAAGATTCCCTGGCAGAGGAATATTTAGGTTTTATCTTTTCTCTAATAATTAAAGCCCATAAATAGCAGAATGTTATACAGCAAAGAGATCCTTACCTTGGGTTAAGTGCAGGGTGCAGCTTTGGAAATCAGTTGAATTATTAAGGAGAGATATTCAGATTCTTCAAATTTTCTTTTCATTCATGAAAAAGGCTTTTGTTCTTCATACTTCAAAATTTTGCCTGGCCAGTTCACAATCAGATGTCACCGTCTTAAAAGTTTAGGAGGAAAGAGAGAGGGAATGTATTTCTAAAAATCTTTCAGGACGCTATTTCTTCAATTGTTTATAATCAAAATGAACTACAATGCCTTCAAACTGTCCTAACTTTCATTTTAAGTTAAAGCCCGAATACCTAAGTCATTCACGTGCGCAAGGGAACAGGAGCAGAACTCATTCTAGCTGATAACCCACTGGGATTAAGTTTGATATTCCTCTCACAGCCCCAGTCCTTTAAATAGCTCTAGCTTACAGCCAGACATGAATTAGCAATGTCTTTCCTTAAAAACAACAAATTTGTAGGAGCACTTTTTTCCTCTTTGCATTCCAGTTAATTTTTTGAGACTGGTCAAACCAAATCTGCCCAAATTTATGTAAATGCACGTTTAGAAGAATTAACAGCAACCGTAAATTCACCACAATCCTCCATCCTCTATATACTCCGCGCCAAAGACGCGGAAGAACGGAGAGATTCAGTGCTGCTGAATGAGCGGGTACTGCTGCCAGCGTCATCCTGCAAGAGTGAACGTGGCTTCTCCCTGCACAGTACATATAGCGTGTGCTTAAAGCAGCGACCGCTCGTACCCGTGATGTTACAGCAGAAGCAAGTGCTGCTCTGCCACCGGACTCTGGTAATGAGTTTTATTTCTTTTTCATACACTAAACCTCCCTTTACCTACCTCTCCAGGAAGAAACACTCCAGTTAGTCGTAAAATGGAAAGTCTCACTGTGACTGGGACTGACATGGGAATGCTGTTCTCTTTGAGGGAGAGTGCCACCGCCGGGATTAAGTCTCCTGGAAGTACTTAACAGATCGCACAATTTCAGGCAGACAGGTCTGTAGTGCAAATTAGCAAACGTTGTGCTGGAATGGCTACAAGATCACGCTATACGGAACCAACCTTTGCTAAAACATCTAACTGCAAGGTCACAAGACAGTGACGTAACATGTAATTATTTTAAACTACATGATTAAAAGCAGTATCCAGATAATTTTGATCACCTTGAGGGGTTTTACAAACATTGGTAAAGAGTTGTCCCTCCCGCTCACAGTCATATGTCTGTGTAAGCTACAAAATATGCCAGTAAGGATGGAAGCTAGCTAGGAGGAAAGCCAGGACTCATCTGTGAGTTATGCTAGAGATTACTTAAAATTCACGCTTGTCTATATTGTTATAAGTTGGCAGCATCCCCATAAAACACTTCCAGTTCTGTCATTGAAACATGTGCTTGTTGGGAAGTTCTGATGCCCAAAGCAGCACAGACCTGCGCATCTCCCTCCTGCCCATCGCCATCACACTACTACCGTGCAATCTTTTAAAATAACCACGACCATTCCCTATAGCAGATGGAAGAGAGGGTGCTCTTGAAGATTAAGGATCGAAAAGCTTAAGAATTATCAGTGGAATTTACGCCAACTGGGGAAAATGATCTCATTTCATATCAAAATTTTGAATTAATTCTTCAGGGGTTTTTTGCAGAACTGTTTGGGAAAAGGCTCTCATTTTGGCAATGAAAAGAAACCTGGATTAAAACGGATTTTACATTTTCTGATTTTACATTTAGTTTTTCTTCCATAATTTGTTACTATGAACAAAACTATATATAAATCAGGATAAAATTATTAAGGATAAAGAGAGAGAAAAAGATAAAAAGACAAAACGTGGAATATGATAGCTTTGGGGCTCCAAGCCATTTTTAAAAAATCAGGTTAATCTGGCTATTAACACTGTTCTTAGAGAATCGGTCCAAATCCTAACGTTAGGGAAGTTGAGTTTGCAGAATTTTCAGAGAAAACTATGTTGAGGAAAGGACTTGTGCTGACGAATTGCGCTGAGAAAGGTTACTGTGAATTACTGAGGAAGACATGCTGCCTCTTAAGGAATCACATACAAAATAAAAATTTCTTCTCTCTCCAAGTCACACACCAGTGTTGTGTGTATTTAACCTAAAATCCCATCACCTGCACTTTTTAGATTTGATGGCAGTAAGGAAGATACAGATATAGAGAAAGTATAGGTCAAGGAACAGAATTTTATTTGATTCTGGAAAGTATCATGCAACAAATATCTTTTTTTTTTTTTTTTAAATGAACCTTGCCCAGCTTTCAGATGACAAATTAAAATGTACAAGTAAAAGGATGCATACAGTTAGCACCATAGGAGGAATAGTCTTCTCTTTGTAACTCCATTTGATAGAAGGTTATAAAACAAAACAGTGGAAAAGAAAAAAAAAACCAAAACCCCACCTAGCTGACCTTACATTTTTATTTTCAACATCCTAGATACTTAAATCTAAACGTCAAGACACCATGACTCATCTAGCATATCTAAATAATTCATGTTCAGCCAAACTTGCTCTATACATTAAGAAATATTTAAGTGTCAACTGGTAACTATCACAAAGAACCAGCTAATATGCATGGTGAAAGTTGTAAAGGTCCAGAAAAAGAAATGAAACAATGGAAACCAAACCGAGGAATTTGCCCCTCTTCCAGTCCTTTGGAGGTATGGTTATCATGACTTGCTGCAAAGATCAAAACAAATAAAAGGGATGTGTACTGGTTCTGCCTGGAATGGACCAAATATCCTAATATTATCCTGTAATATCCTAATTTCATGCGCCAAATATCCAGATGCACTTAACCTAAACTCTCCATTTCCTACCTGCAAGCAACTACAGGATTACGTCACACTTCAAATGTTTGTTTTCCTTACTTTTGTATTCATTTGAAATACTTGTCCCTTGTGGTTCTTACTGCAAGGCTTTCAAGATACTGAACAGTTCTACAAACCCTCCAATCTTTACCAAGCAGCAATTCTAATACAGGATTTAAGAGTTTTAAATACCATGTTATTATGTGCTGTCTTCTTAAGGCGATGGAATCATTCCGTTGAAGTATCTCAATTTTGCTTTACAAATCGATACTAAGAATTCCTTTGTAAGCATCTCTAATTACAATACATGTAAAATGATATAAATTTTACTAAACTATTAACCTGACTCAATTTTAAAAGAAGGGTTCAAACTAAGCTCACAAGGAAGAGGCAACTTTTGGTCATAGTTTGGAAAATACATCTTTTGATTACTCCCACCTGTCAAGGTCACGTGCATGGATTTTAACAGCAACGCTAAGCAACCAGTTAAAACAATTGCTTTGCATCCAAATCATAGCAAAATCATTTACTTTAATCCCAAAGCAAAATGTGGTAAAACCCAAACCAGGTGCTTTTTCAGACCGATAAGAGGTGGCCGTTAGCACTAGAACATCTCTTGCAGTAAATGCAGTTTTAACGCAGAGAGCCGACATGAACGTTAATGACCCAGAGGAGCCTTCGCAGCCATGAGTGCTTCATCGCTTTACCGCCAGGAGAGTAACGAGACTCTGCACTTTTCTTTATCTTTCCTTTATTTATGCTTGGACTTCCAGCACTGCACATCAGATACCCAGGGTCTTAATCTGTCCTATATCAGACTGCAAAAATACAATGCTTTCTCAACTGTCCTTGCATCAACAAATCAAACAGTCACATCCAACAAACCCTTCACTTGAGTAGTTACTTCTATCTAAAAAGGCATCTCTCCTCTTCAGGATTTCAACTAATGCTTCTGGCTTATAAAAGATTAAGTGCAATCAGTTACACTGAAAGTTTATAATGCAGCTCTTGATTGTATTTTCTGTGCACGCATTTACATCAGGCACACAAGTTATATAAAATAGTTTGGAGTACAAAAATATGGTTATAACATAGGAGTACCAAACAGCACAGAATTAGAACAGTTTTATTACCATAATACCAATTTATATACAGACCCCCAAATTAAGGATTTTTTTAATTCTAAGTATTCCTCCCAAATTGACAACTGTAGTGTACACTCTAAAAAACTGCAAATTAACAACACAAATCTATTTTAACCCCTACATTGTCTATGCAGGCTGCACCAATCCTCTCTCTTGCACACAAAAATGTATTATAAATAATTTCTCACAAAATGTCATGTATGCTTTATTGCACATTGTACATGCCAATATCTAAAAGAAAGGCTCAAACCTTTTGTTTGATAACTAACTGTTTAAATACCTAGCATTTACTTATGTTATGAATACTATTGCATTTTTCAGGCTCTAATCTTAACTGATAATTTAAAAGAAAAAAAGCAGAACAGAAAATATGCCTTGAACAGTACAGCTTTTGTGAAAGAAATGAGCTTTTTAAAATTTTACTGATTTCTACTGTATAAAGTCATTAAAAACATCTGACCTAACTAAAAATCCCGTTTCCAAATTTCTGCATTTTTTACTATAAAATTATGCATATAGCTGCTTGTATAATCATATATTCCTTCTGTTTTGCAGAATTAGATGCTCCTGTGCTGTATTGACTAGAAGATTGAGTTACATAGGTCCTAGTGTTAAGTACGGGAGTTAGTGTATCAGTCGGTGTTCCGCTGGTCTCCCCGGCGGTGGCAAGCGAGGAGCCCGTCAGAACACCACAACAGGTCAGTCAAAAAGACACCGGGCACAAGCGGCCATCAAGCATCAAGGCCGTGTATAGTTCCTGTTAAGCGAATCTCTAGACTAAGGAATAGGAGTAATTTATCATTAATATGTGGGTTTATGGTATGCTGCGCTAAAATATTGACCGCTAAACAAAGAGAATGATTCGTGTATGACAGATACGTGCCAGCTGATTAAAAATGCCTCACTGGGTAAAAAAAATCTGCATTTTGAGGGTTAAAACTCTGGCATGAACAAAAAGATTAAAAAGTTGATTGATCCAATGTTTTGCCAAGGGTTTCTAAAGCTATTAGCCATCAACAGCTCCAGAAAGGGATAAAAACAGCAAAACCAAACACCTAAAATTGCACTATTACAAAGAAACAAGTCCGTGAAAGGTAGAGTCACCAGCTGCAGTTAAGGGACAGCCACTTCAAGAAGCCGATTGTTTTTTCGCTTGCAAGTTGGGATGTTGCCATTTTTCTGGCTGCCTTGTATGAACTTCACACATACTTTGTCTTGTCTGAACTGGACCAGAAACCTAGGAGAGGGAATAAGATACATTTTAGTTAAAGGTGGGAAAAAACGCATGAGGAGCAGAAGCTCTTCCTGTTGGTGCTGAGCATCACTCCAAAAGATGCCATTTTTGGGTCTATATTAATAGTAAGAGTCGAGGAATTAAAAAAAAGCCATAGGTTATGGTATGGCTTGAGTCTCCTCCTTCAGGTAGCATCTCAATTATTGCCTTTTGCCTGTAACTGTGGACCTTTTACAATAGTTAGTTTGCTATTCCTTTAGAAAGAAGGCAGTTTAAAACAGAATTTCTAATGTACCAGAAATGCAGCAAAGACTATATCCAACTGCTTCACCGTCGTCCAAAGGGACTCTTCTGTTTTCATGGAAGGAAGCTAAATACTTCTATAGCAACATCGGAAGCGCTGCTCTTCTGGTTTACGCTCAATTTAGTATATCTGGTATCTTAGCAGCTCTCAGATTTCTAATCCTTACTTAATCTTTACAGCCCCCTGCTATGCAATTCGGAAAATTCAATTCCTTCCCAGCAATCTCCAAATTTTGCTATTTCCTACTGTCCAGGATAAATTAATCTGGATTTGACTCTTCACTTTTTACTGGAAGAGAAATTTCATTGAATGTGGAGAATTGCTTTTAAAAAAAACCAACCCAACAGGCTCCTGTGGAGCCTCAAACTTCTCACTGATCTGGACAGCAAGATTAAAAGCACTAAAGAGGGCAGCGCTGCCTTTTGGCTCACATGCAGTGGTTGCTGACCTAAAAAGTCCTTTGTAACACAGCAGATTTTCCTTTTTAGCATCCTTAAAAAGTCCTCCAGCAGAAGCCAAAAACTTCAAAGAATTTGTTCTCCAGCCGGAAACCACAAATCAAGCTGACGGCAGAGCTCAGGGGAGGAAGTGGCCTCTCCTGCGCCGAGCTGCCCTTTGGTCCCACTTTCCTGCTGCACAGCCCAGACGCTCAAAGATTAACTTGTTCGGCGCTCCCAGCCATGCAAGCATCCAGAAAACACAAGCAGGTCTTACAGCCATCATCTCTTGTCACCGACGCTGCATTTTCCTAGACCCATTGTTCTAGTACTATATATATAAACGGTATGTCTCTTACTAGACATACCCCTGGATCAATAGCATTTTTATTTATATAAGCTCTCTTCCCAAAAAGAAGTGGCCAGTAGTCAAAGTAAGGCCACATTTTCTCCTCAATTCCTAGTTGTGCTTGTATCTAAACTCTAGTAAAGAGAACAGAGTACTGCTTCACCAACAACAGAGATGGAACTGCTAAAAAAAAAAAAGCAAATTATTTAGTCTGGATAACCTCAATAGCAATACACACTTGAATGTTTTTAATCTGCAAGACAAGGAACAAAACCACATCCCAAAATGCAAGACTCCCAGAAAACAGACTGTTTTCCAGACCTAAGGCAGGCAGTCCAGACTAGTGCAATGCATGCTTAAACTTTGTTTTAGTAGTTTATTCCTTTGTAGCCATCATTAAACTAGAAACTTACTGGGGACAGCCATGCTCTTTTAGAGGCTAAAAACATACACCCTTGAGCAAATTAAACCACATCTGGTAACAGAACAAAGGAAAATGGCAGACATCATTTTCAAGATTAGAGCAAAATTAGCCGTTATATAAACCCTCAAATCTGAACAAACTGTACTTGCCATCATGACTCTAGAACACAAGCAGTGCTGTGCAGCCAGATAAAAGGTTCAATTTTTGCCTACAGTAACTTTATTTCACTATTGTTAAAGGGTTCCAAATTTTCTTCTTTATTCAAAATTAATAAACCCACCAAATCAACACTACGGAAATCAGGGGGCACTTCACACACCAAACTGAGCGCATTACAATGGTGGAGTGAGGGACTCTTACTCAGCAGGCTTTAGGAGTTCACACACACGCACAAACATTTTCATTCCATGGCTATAAACACTGCAAGTGCAGTCCTTACTTAAGGCCAAAATATGAAACTGCACCAAGCACAAAGAAATACTAATTTGAGATGCCAGCTTTTTATCAAACAAAGCTTTTAACAACCAAAAAACCCAAAACAACAATAGGCAGTTCAAAAGACCATCAACAGGAATACTCAGAATACATTTGTCACCTTCACAAGAGAGAAGGTAGAGCTGTATAGACCTACGTTACTAGCCCCATCACTATGTGTGTTTGGGGGGGGAGCTTTTCATTCTGTTTTGGTTGTTTTCCCTAGAACTTGGCACCTGGTGTTCACTCTAATCAATAAACATCTCATAGGACTATGTGAACTTTTCACACACACACAAAATCATTCTCTCAAATGTAGTATCTCTTAATTATTTCTACAGCAGCAATTCTGCTACATAGCTCTATTTGAAACTACCTTAAGAAAAGCACATTTTCTCTAATGACTTTCAAGGAAATAAGAGCCAAAATGAATACTAGAAATGAGTACACACTGAAAATTGGATCCTTATTTACAAGTATTCTGTCAAGAGAAAAGAAGCGTTAGTTATACAACAGTTTTGTTTTTCTAACACTGGATACTTGACTTTTTAGCACATTGCGTTGAAGGAAATGCAGTTTTAAGCAAACAAGAAACATACTCATCAGAAATCTCAATGTTGAGCTTTTGTTTGGTTTGGCTGAGAGTAGTGCGGTAAAGCTTAGTGGCCATTTCAATAAGGTGATCGCTGCTGAGCAGGAAATCTCCTTTACTAGCTGCTCCTGAACCCTGAAACAGAAAGAAAAGTATTTAGGACTACCAAAAACCTAGATAATGAAAAATATTAAATGCCAGCCAAGCAGGAGGAAGAGAAGGAGTCTTCTCTTCCCAGTGCGATGAAACAACAGTCTTTTGTCCTGTGAATTAAATAGGGATGCGGTGCAGTGCAGAGGATCAAAATGAAATTCACTCTCAAATAAACTACAAACCTGCTGAGAAAGTTAAAAAACCCCTTCTGACCCTAACAGAGGGTCACCTTCAGTTGTCCTACAACACTGTAATGTTTCTGTATCTCTCTCCTGGCTACTCACAATATTTTCAGAAAGGAAGAGAAACCAATTACCAACACCAGTATTAGGATGGCGGTGGTCAGTATGAAGACACTATATATGATGTTCTTCAAATCCATTTAAGTTAGAATACAAATGTCGGCTTAATGATTTTAGCAGAGCAATGCTGTCAGTGCAGTGAAGCAAATACAGCACTGAACTAAGTTCTTTAGAACTGAGTAACCAACTTAGCTGTGCTGTAACGTGGATTTCTCGGCATCACATAAAGAAGAAAGAAATATTCTGCCAGTGTGTCAGGAAGAATTGTATGAGCAGCTAAAAGAGGAAAATGCTGCCACAAGGTATCCGAACCAGATTAAAGGCCCATATTACAAATGGAAAACTCTAATCCTGAAGAGGCTACAGTGAAACATGAAATCTGATTTTCACAATTAAATGATTGTTCATAACGTAATAACTGTTCTCATCTGGCTTCAGTAGTTTTAAATCAAAGTTTTTGCAGATATGGCAAAGTTCTATAAACTTCTAAACCTACAGGCTAAAACCGCTACAATTTAATGCTACAAAACAATTAATAAACTATTTTTATATCACTGCATGTAAAACAATCATATTATTGTATTATAAAGCTGTAACCAACCTCCTTGAGGTGCACTGCAAAGAAGCCATCATTTTGGGAGCTCATGGACACTTTGGTAACATCTCCTAGTGGAACCTCTGACTTGATATTACCAGATTTTTGATCCGCAAGAAGAACATTATTTTTGGTTAATAAGAAAATCCTGGATGTAGCCTGTGAAAATGCAGAAGCACAAACCATTATCTACACAAAGAGAGAAGTGGTCGTTACTGAGCACCTACTAAGACTACAAGCAGTTCATAGAGTTAATAAGATTGGCCCACATTAGTAAACATGAACATTTGATGTTCAGTAAAAGCTGCAGATCAGTTAAAATCAGGTCAAATTTATTTATGTGTCTAAATATAGATTGAGAAGCTTAGCTCATTTGGGCACATATGCTTAGATATAAACAGTTCCTTTAATTATTAGCTTACAGTTATAAAATTCAGAAACTGAAACTCAGAAACTATGCAAATCAAGATAACCTCATTTCTCATGCTCTGTCAGTCCCCAGGAAAACCAATGTACCTTTTCAGTGATAGCTAATTCAGGACTAAGCCTCGCTATTTAGTCATCAAAACTGTGTTGCAGAACACCACAAATCGCATAGGTATTTTCAATGTTATGTTCTCCTCCCTTTATCTATTGGAATTATTCTTTAGGAGGATACACATTCATATTTTCAAAGGACAAATATTTTTAAAGCATGAATGTGTGTTCTTAAATTCATCTTAGAAAATGGTAAGAAAGAGAAATGAGAACTTAATCTACATATAACTTTTTCTCCTGTAAAATTTTAAAATTGTAAAAACAATAAAATCTTAACTATTATAATTAAGAAGTAGCTGTCTTAAGCATATAGAACTGTAGCTCATTATTAATTGTTTTGTTTTAATCTTGAGAGCTGTAGCCTACACAAGTACAGGAAAGCTATTGCCTTCATTTAATTAGTTTCTTCTAAACTGGAAAATTAACTTGGCACCAACAACAGGCAACTAATTTCACTCCTACAAATGCATAAATGACATCTACATCTGAGAAGCCGAGATCTACTACTTCTAATATTTAGACAGATATGGTGAAAACAATTACATTTACGAACAGAGGATAATACTTCCTGTTTTAATAAGTATAATTTAAATGCAAAACAACTTCTGTGTTGGCAGGATAAAAAAGTACCCCGTATATTTAACAGCTTTATTCAAATGATACAAGAAACTTGCCTCTTCATTCCAAAAAGTTTTTGATATCAATCACAAGACAGGCAAAGCTAGCAGAGCACTCACAATTTTAAAACATAATAAAATGTGAGAATCAGGAGCTTGAACGACAGTGTGAACCTTGAAAGGTTAAGTTTTCTAAATACTTGAACAAGAACAATATTCTCTAAATATTTATTTTCTTTGATTGGCAAACAGAAGATCTAAGTTTGGTACAGAGACTGCATCTAGCTGTGAATCAATACACCCTGTTACCAGTTGATGAGATGCCATTTTTGTTTGGAAAAGTCACTGCAAACTACAAACCCAAACGAGATTTTAGTAATCTTTATGTAAATTTAAAATCACTTGTGCTTAAAATCACCAGTTTACATAATTCCAACATTTCGAGTCTTGCCATGAAAAAAGGCATTTTTTTACATCTTCAGACTATTACATGACAGGAACGAAGACTCCCTCAGTTTGTTTATAACAAAAATGATCTACCCTTCTGGATAAAGGAGGCCATTTTATTACCTTCCCATTAGCTCTATTGATCTTATTCACAACTTCTGCAATAATGATCTTTTCATCCACGGCATCTTTAAGTTTTTTGTACTTGGGGTTCTTGCTGATTTCCAAGTAAGCCCCTTGGAACGGCTGCCCAACACTGCCCAACAAAAAGACAAGAGGAACATGAGATAAATCGCAGGGAAGAAGTAAACTTCAGACAACCATCACATTCTGCTTCAAGCTTCACGGAGCCAGGAGATGCACCAAATACCATTTTCAATGACTCTATACCGCCAGAAGCTTTCGTAAGCTTTGATACACCGTCTGCCAGGGAAAGCATGCAGTGTAATTGTCCTCTATCCTCTGAGAAGCCGAAAACTGCAGCCCCCCAAGCTCGGCCCTGAGACTCTTCAGGTCGGTACCACCCTTCACTCAGTGCGGTGGTGTGGGCATCAATCCGTGCTGTGCAGGCATACTGCATCAGCTGAAAATAACTTGGGAATTGCTAGAGTATTGTGGATATATCTCCCGGCACATTATCTGAGGGGAAAGAAGAAATAAGGAGGAGGGCTAATAAACAGTATGTGTATTAGAGACAGAATCTTGTACACCTTAACAGCACAGTAATGGTGAATAAAGAAACTTATCACCAAAGACAGTAATAGGATTGATTTTTTTTTTTTCCTTGCTCTGGAAACACTTTCTAATTAAATGGGCCAAATTGCTGTGAGTATCAGACACAAGTACACCCTTGCATAAGCAATCAATTTTGATTTAAAATCACATATAACAGTCTCTGTGAAAACAGAGGAAATAAAGCTTCAGCAGGCCCAGCCCCTCTGCTCTTCCACAGTATTTTACAGTGACAGACAGGAACTTGCCTTCCAGATCTGCTGCTGTTTAAGTGTGTACCAGCTCTTTGTCAAGACTTGTTGCACTTCCAAATCGCCCCATCTTTACCCACCTCAGGGTTATACAGTAAGACCTTTGCTATCAGTTAAGAATTGGTGAATAGAGTTGCTGCTTGCTTTGTTTGGAAGTCACTTTAACTAATCACTTTGGTTAAATTACAGACAAAGTACTAAATGCAAAGCTTTGCCAAGACTAGAGCCCAAGAGGAACCAATGTATTATGTAGAATAGCACTACCTTTGTAATTGCATCTACGGCACACAGGGAGATGGGAGGGAAAAGGAAGGGTACTGGTATTTTAGTACTCACAAGAAGTCCCTCTCTGTTCTTAAATAATTATATTACACACGTTCTATGAATCATTATCATACTAACTAATCAGAAACTTTATACAGTAATTCCCTCCAGCCATAGGCCAATTAAAAAACCCAACAGGAGCTAATCAGCTCTGAATACAAGACAAAAAGAGATGGAAATGTTTCTAAATGAGAGCAGGGTGGGGAAAGCATTCTAACTTTCCACCATGTTGGAGCTTTAGAGTTTTTTGGTTTTATTAATTAGCATTATTAAACCATAGTCACCAAAACAGTAGATTCCCTGTGGACTGTGTCCCTAATCAAACAATGACGACCCGCAAGCTAAAACTGAAATGAATCACAGTTACCCTCTATCATATATACCACTGAAGAACATCTTGGATAAAAGTAACTCAGATATGTATTTTGCTGTATATTTCATTGTTCAGTCTTGGTGTAAAAAGTACCAAACCAGGGATATAAATAAAATTCCTTCCTTCCCAAGGAGCTCTATGCTGATCAGATGTGTACCGACTGGAAGCAAAAAACCCCTGCTTGCTCCTAGAAAAGTCTAAAGGCAGCATCTTTCTCTTTTCCCAGCAGTATAAAAAGACAGCCCAAAGCAAATAAGGAACAAACCACAAGCTAACATATACAGCCATTAAATAAGTGATCTACTGAAGGGAAGAAAGAGAAATATATACTGAGCCCATGACAGGAAAAAAATAATTTTCTCAATAAAAAATGACACAAAACAAACCAAATAAAACACACAAACAACCAAGCAGAGCTTGTCTATGCATGGAACTGCCCTCATCGGCTCCTGCAGATTCCTGTCCCTCCCTCTACTGAACCTTGCTTCTTGCTTTACGGTGCCTTGTTCCTGCTCCGCTCAAACTGTGGCTTCTAAAAGAAAACTCTTCTGAGATGGACGAGACCTTTGTTTCCAAGAAAATCAGAATTTCTAAGCTCATATTCACTTAAAAAGTTCAATTCAACTTTTCAAGGACATCGGATCTCCATTTTGTCAGTTTTATTACATGAAAAAAAAAAAGTGCATTCCTTAAGTAAAATCAGATACTACTGCATTGTCTTGAGTAACGTTAGCTCTACAGATAGCAATGACAAGAATTTGCCAGTTTTTAAGAACTCAGTAATTTGAGAAACCAGAAACCTTATTTGCAGAGATTTTACATTTTTAAAAAGTCTCCAATTAAAAACAAATAAAATTCTAAAATGGAAATGAACATATAAGCACTTTTTAAAAAAGTATCTTTTCAAAAAGATAAATACTAGTGTATCTAACTCTTAAATTTCCTAAGTCTTCTCCTTAAAGCATTATGCTGAATGCACTAAGTGTGAACATAGGAGAGGTCCCTGCACGCCTCATCTAGGAGTGACATTGCTCATTCCACTTTTATTGGTTGCAGGAACCAGCATGATGGAAACTAGGGGAAAGGGTGAGAGTTCTTCCCTTCTACAAGTTCTCCAAACTTTTACGATGTGAACAGATTATGAGGGGTTAGAACAACAAAATATCATGGCTTCTGGACAGAGGCGCTCCGAACCACAGGATTAGTGGGCTGCAACAACATCTAAGTTAGAAGCAAAATTTCCAGGATTGTAAAGTAAAATGATGGAGGGACATTGTCAAACAAGGAAAATGCACTTTCCTGCTTAAGATAAAAAAGCAAAATCTTGCTTAGTTTCCTCAGTCTATGTAAGGATACTGAATTTATTGTACGCTAAAAGCAGCAGAATAAGTCATTACCTGGCTGGATATAAAGCCTTCTTGTCCTTGAAAAGTTCACTTGCTTCCAGTTTTTCTTCATAGATAAGCTTCTGCTGATCTGTGAACTGGTCTCTGTACTTTTTACACTACAAAACATGATATATTAAACAAACAAAAAATTATCCTTCCAAATCTGATTTGAAGCACATCACCACAGACTAATGTTTGCTTATTGCTCAAGATGCACATTCTTTGTATACTTCTGAAGTGACTCAGCTCCATCCTACGTGCCACTGTGGCACAATAACAAACTGCAGAGGTGTTTCTCTCTTCACTCATTCTAAATACTTCTGAATTACACCAAAACCAGTATGTAAAACATCTCATCTAATCATGTTGCATTTGAACATGAGCTTAATCTATCAGACACCAGTCACTGGGAGACTGTGCTGAAATGATTCACATATATACATATATATAGTTCCACAATTGTGGAAGTTTATGTAAGCAGAGAGAAAGAACAAAACACAGCCGAGAGGATGAATTTTGCAGGCTCAGAAAGAAAAACTGTTCCTTGACAATTCACAGAAAACATAGCCCACAAGATCAGTAAAACATCTCATCAGCACTTATACAGTGTCTTGCTGTTCTCTCCATCCAAAGATCCAAAACAAATTTCAGCTAACCACAGTTCATAAGTAAAAAATTCCACCTGGTACTTCCAATGTTGGTCTAAGAGCTAGTCCTAGTCCTGGCCATGGACACAAGTATTACAAGCTACCAATCATCAGGCAAGGGGCATGTTGCTTTGCTGTTGAGTTAAAAGCTGATGGCAGGAAGCAATCCTCTCTCCCTAGCCCCAGAAAGGAGGCGGCAGGATAGTTATACCCCTTGCAGGCCAAAGACAATGATCAAAAGACACACTTCTTCCAAAGAAATAAAATATCCTGTCTGGAATGGGAAGAAATACATCCTAAAAACAGGCTCTTCACGAACAACACAAAACTAGTGAAAATCATGTGATAAAGTTCTGTACAGACTGGACCAGAACGTGTCCTACCCTCCACAAATGGAAAATTCTCTTTAGTTCCTTGTGAGTTGAATCCAAGAAAAGGTAAGGTCTCACTGGCCAATTTTTATCTATTGGTGATAAAGAAGGCATCTTGTTCTTCATTTCCAGGAAGTATTTCTGCATCTGTGATAAAATTGAAGCAAGATGTTTCATTAATGTTCAAATACCAGAGTTATTGAAATAAGCAAGGACAAGCAGATGCTCTGTGATTAAAAGCACAGTTACCAAACTGCAACTCTCAGCTTTAATAAATCTGAATATGGATTTAAAAAGCCAGGTATACCGAGAAATGCAGATTTACATATCATACAATTGTGGCAAATGCTCAGTTAGTGCCATTCCCACACTTCAAAATACTATTACTATCCTTTCTTTACAACATCAGAAATATTTAAGTTATCAATTTTCTATAGGCTTAGCTTGGACATTTCCTTGCAAAGACCATCAAGGCCATACTAGAGCTGTCAGTTTTGCTAGAAAAGAAAAATTTGAAACACAGAAAATGTACGTGTGCTTTGTACGGATATATACATACAAGTCTCTGAAGGGTAAATTCGTAAATTTTTCTTCCAGCATTGGCTCTGAAGAATTTCCTGTACTCTCTACGGACCTGTAAAGTTAAACAAACCCTCAAAGTGAACACAAAGAATGAATCTTTTTTCACAGGTACTCTTTTATATAGCTTTATGGCAGAAAATACTAAAAAAGCATACAAACATGCAAAGTGTTCCCTGAAAGAGGAAAACTACCTGGGTACACTTAAAATCTATGAACCAGACCATGGACCAAGAAGTCAGAAAGTTACCTCAGATGACCTCAGTATAGACATTTTCAAATTTAACAGAGTATTTTAAATACTTTCCTTTGAAAAGGCAAGATATTAAAATATTCTTGAATTCACAGCATGAATCCATTTTCATAGGTTTTTGCATAGAATTGGACTGGAAGAAGTGAGGCATCATCAGTAATACGTCTTTTTATTGTGTCCTAAGTGACGCTGAATTGATGTTAATTACATAGTTAACTCTTGGACTGTTTCTCATTTTTCTCCTTTAAGATTCTTAATACACAGAGTTTACTATAATGAAAAAGGTCATTTTTTTTTCCAGAGCAGACTTATGCATGAGAAAACTCTTTACAAAAATAGTCGTCATTCAAAAATGAGAGTAAGTTTTTGGTGTTTGATAAAAGCAGCGGTTGCTTAATGTCCGCAAGCTTGATATTTGCTACTAAAATTTATTTAAAAAAAGATTTCAAAAAAGTGATCATTGAGAACCATTTTTGCAGGTGATACTAAATTTTAATACATGCCTGTAAATGCAAGTTTCAGAGCACTTGTTTTGCCCTTGGTATTTCTATCAGTGCTAATTAGCATAGTATCTAAATTGCTCCCTTCAGAAAACCCAATCTGAGAGCAAGCACAACTGGTTTGCAGTTTCATGAGAACTCCAGGCTCACGTCAAGTCAGCTGAAACACCCCTCAACTTTTTTCAAACTTTGGCACAGCCTGCAACACACCTGTTAAAAGCTTTGAGCAAAAACCAGGGAAAACATCGTGGCTTTGCATAATTTACCCCAGAGCAAATTTTGTGGGTTTAGCTAACTCGCTATGTGTTGCACAAAATAAAGGGAAACCCATAGAGGAAAAACCCACATCAACTTATATGAAAAAAAGTTTGCTTGGCTTATCCTGCCACACCTTCTGCCCCATGCTGAGTGTCATGCATTTTAAGATAAACCAGCATTCTGAATGCAAGAATCTGTCACCACTCTGGGATGAAGAGATAAATGGGCTTTTCTTAATTACACATGAAGATGCATCAACAAAACTGACAGCATTCAGCCATCTTCATTCTATGCAAATACAGCACAATTTTTTCCTCCTCATCTTATAAGAAAAATTATTAGAGTTCTTATTCACTGATTTTCTGTAAGGTTTAGAGCTCTATAATTAGTGTAGATCCTTTATTTATTATTCAGGGATGGAAATTAACACACTCAAAGCCACTTCAACCACAATCATCCCAAGTCTCACCATGTCCTCATAGACTCTCTTTAATGATGCTGCTTTATATTATTCTTCGTGAGCTGCAAGGTGTGCAAATTAATGTGGAACAAAGGGACTAATATACACCCACACATCCTATTGGCGCTGCAGGGAAGCTGCAAAGCAAGCACTGAGAAATGCAAGCCGTTCCAGAAAAGCCTAAATCTGGAAAGTACCACAAATGCTATTAAAATCTATTTATCATACAGTTTAAAAAAAAAAAAAAAAAAAAAAGACTCAACAATTAATGGTTTAATCTTGATCACTTAAATCAACTTTAAATCTTTACCTCCATATGTCATGGGTGAGAATACTTTGTCATCAGATTAATGAGAATTATCTGTGGTAACAGTGGTATGTATGAATTACTGACTATGCTCTTATTCAGAAAAATCTGCTTGTTTCAGGTGAGACAGAAGTGCGGCTTAGACAATTTAACAACAATTAATGGTTTAATCTTGATCACTTAAATCAACTTTAAATCTTTACCTCCATATGTCATGGGTGAGAATACTTTGTCATCAGATTAATGAGAATTATCTGTGGTAACAGTGGTATGTATGAATTACTGACTATGCTCTTATTCAGAAAAATCTGCTTGTTTCAGGTGAGACAGAAGTGCGGCTTAGACAATTTAAAAAAATACATTGAAAAACCACACCGCAGACA